TCCCCCTCCTCCTCCTCCTCCTCCTCCTCCTCCTCCTCCTCCTCCTCCTCCTCCTCTCCTCCTCTCCTCCTCTCCCCCCCGTCGCCCCTCCTCCTCTCCCCCCCGTCGCTCGCAGCAGGGCACGCAACCAGGCCCTTCCGCGCGGTCCCGTTCAGCACGCCTGTGCGGTTTTTGCCCACCTCTTCGACCCTCTGGGATTGACGTCCGTTTGGCAGAGCCTGCACTTCTACTCTGTCGCTGGCTGGGGGAGGGGGAGGAGGCGGCGGAGAGCGACGATGATGAAGAAGAGTGGCAGGAGCAGGAGGGGGACCACTTGTATCCTTCCTGCCTGTACCCTGATGTGCTTCTGCCTCTCCTTGCTGTCAAAGCGTCGCACTCCCATCGCACATGCCCTCGATGAGAGCGCATCCAGTGCAGCCAGCAGACGAGAAGACAGATCCTGAAGACTGCGGATGGGAAGTAGGAGAAGTTCAAGCAGGTACCGACAGGGACAGTGATCGGGAGGGCACGTGGCGATGAAGGCAATGATCCCAGGGATGCTCGCGCACTGGTTGGTGGAACACCCCAACTCTGGAGTGGTCCCACGGGCTATCCCTGGATGTCGAGTGGGTGGAGGATGCCTGGTTCACCACGAAGCCCCAGACGGAGGATGCGAAGCGCCAACTCGCAAGTGGCCGCCAAAAACCTCGAGCGTGTGATCTGAGGCGCCGCACTGGAGCACTCTGGCCCTCTGTCCACGCTGCAACGAATGTCTCGTCTTCTTCCCAAGCAGTGCTCGCTCTACGGGGCTCTCACTGGGGTGTGCAGTTGGGCCGCTGAGGCAAAGAACGGTCAACCAGGAACGAAGCCCTGCGTGTGGCCCCAAGAGCGCCAGCGTGCACGAGGAGGGCCAGAGGAACAACCAAAGAGCGACCCGAGGAACGTCGAGCCCCTTCCGCACCCAAACTGCTCCTCACCTCGGCGTCCTGCCTGCGAGGGTGACGCGCTGCGTCTCCCAGGCTTCGCCGCGTGCCCGCCCGTGGGCGCCTCGTGGTCGCCACGTGCGCTGGCCGTGTCTTCCGGGCCTCCGCGCCCGGTGCCCGCCCACTGGGGGCCCCTCGCGGGGCGCCTCGTGCGCCGGCGCTCTTCGCCGTGCGGTCGCCGGGCGGGCGCCTCGTGCCGTGGCCGGCACGTCCGGATGCGCACGTCGTTCGCACCACACTGCTTGGCGCCGCATGTCTTGCACCACGCAGCCTGCAGCCCGTGTCTTCGACGACAGGTGTTGTAACACGAGTCCCGCGCATCATAGCATTCGGCACGTAGCTGGCACCACGTATCTTGCACCGCACAGCTTGCACGACATAGTTTGCACAGCATGCATCGCATCCTATATCCTATGTGTGCATGTGTGTATGTATGTATGTATGTATGTATGTATGTATGTATGTATGTATGTATGTATGTATGTATGTATGCATGCATGTATGTATGTATGTATGTATGTATGTATGTATGTATGTATAGATATATAATGATAGTGCGCCGCATATACTAGATTCCACCCCATAGGTTACACACCCTGATTTCAATCCGTCGACCCCCGCTTGCCCGGGGTGAATGCGTGTGCGACATTTGGCTGTCCCTCTCCCCCTGTGCCCCTCCCCCAGGGTCCAAATTCTGATTGGAGGGGGGGGGATCCCCGGGCTCCTTAACGCCCCCCTGGGGTCATCGGAGCCTCTGGAGAGCCCCCAGATAGCCCGGGAGGGTCCACACGGAGCGCCAAGGCAGTCCCAGAGAGCGTCGAGACGGCCCCAGAGTGCTGGCAGAGAACTGCGGCCCAATTAGCAAACATTGCCCCGTTCCCCTGGGAACAAAAACGAGCATTTGTAACATACATGCCTTTTTCGTTTTGGCAGCGTCCCACACGGCCAAAAGAGCCCCCAAGACTGTCCCAAGATCCCCAGGACGGCTCAAGATGGCCCGAAGACGACCTCAGGGGTCCCCAAGACGGCCCAAGAGGGGCCCAAGAGGGCGAATACGAACTGACAACTCGAGCCTAGCCCTCCCAGATGACCCCACGCCCCCTAGAGGCCCCCGAGGCGCCCTCAAGAGGCGCCAAGAGGCCTCCAAGAAGCCCCCACGAGGCCCCCAAGAAGCTCCAACAAGTCTCCCAGGTGCCACAGTGAGCCCTCCAAGACGTCCCTGAGAAGCATCCCAAGAGCCCCTCATATGTATCCACACGCCTCCTGACCCACTTCATTCCTTCCACGAACGCTGCCAGCTCTCACTGCATCTCCACACTCCGTGGACGTCCCCCAGTGGCCGTCACGAGACCTCGACACCGTCCCGAAGCGGTTCGATTGCCTCCCACAGCCTTCCCTGAGCATTGCCCACAGACTCCCACAGACATAGACGCGGAACCCGCCTACTCACATTTGCAAGCGTAAGACCGCGCGCGACATGCTCGGCCCCAACCTTCTCCATTGTTCTCTACTCTTCTGGAGCCCGAATCCTGATCGACACCGGCGACGAACTTGACATCGTGTCTTCCGAATGAAAAGAACCTTCCGACATAGACCGCCCGGCTCCGAGAGCTAGTACGGCCCCAAGATGACCGAGATACGACCATGGCTCCGAATGACTTCCGCGATCGTGCATTCCTCTTTGTCTTTTCTAGGGGTCGGCGGAATGGAGCAAGCTCCTTGAAGCAATCCTCTGTCTTGGGTCCTCGCGGGCAGCGGCTCCAGAATGCCGCCGCGCACACATCAAAGGCAGGCGGCCCTGCGGTGGCCCATGGTTGGGACGAGCTGCGCTGGGGCCAGCCGGCCTCTGGCCTGGAAGCCCCCGAGAAGCCACACAGTCGGGGCGTTGACCTAAGGAACCCTAAATAAGGAACGAGGCCCCTTTTTTCCATAAGTCAAACTTCGATTTCCTATCGAAGAGATAAGGAAAACCTGAGGCAAGCTGCGAAACACTCAAGGAACGCGGAGCCCCTCCACAACGAAAAGGGTTCCTTCTTCAGGGCCCCGACTGTACCAAAGATGCGTGCGCATGCACGGAGCAGACGGCCGGGCAGGCTGCCTGCGGCGACGCGGCCCAGCGCCTCGCCGCATCCAGGGCCCCTCATGGGCAAAGGGACATGCCTCACCTTGGACCACCCTCGCTTCCGAACAAGAGCCAGACGATACCAAGCTACCCGTGGGGTGACCCGCAGCGGTCAGGGTGCTCCACGAGGAGGCGTGTGGCATCTGTGAGGCTAGTGGATGCGGAACCCTTAGATGAAGAATCCAGGGTCTGGAAGCCAGTGGAACACCAATCGAGGCTTGGCCGTGGATGTCACCGTTGCCCTCATCAGATAAGTAATCCTCCAGGGCCCGATGCCTCCTGGGCACGTTCATCAGCGAACGCCCCCCACCGCATGGCCTGGTTTTGCCTGGAAGCGCAGGCGGGGCAGGCCACTTACTCTCCTGAGGAGGAGGAGGAGGCGGAGGAGGAGGCGGAGGAGGAGGAGGAGGAGGCGGAGGAGGAGGAGGCGGACCCGGGGCCTCACAGCCGCGGCCGCGGCCGGCCCGAGGCGCCCGCGGCCGCCCGCTGCAGCTCCACCCTGAGGCAGCGGCCGGCCACGCACACGAGCCCCGCCGCGCGCGCGGCGGCCTCTGCCCCCGGGGCGCGCACGCCCTCCTGCAGCCAGACGCCCCGCACGCCCCGGCCCTGCCTCGCGAGGGCGATGGCCTCCTCGACCGCCTCTGCGGCCGCCTCGCCCGGGGCCCGGAAGATGTTCACCAGAGCGAACTCCCCGGGCACCGCCGCCAGCGAGGGGTACGCCACGGCGCCGGCCACCTCCGACGCGTGCGGGTTCACCGGGTGCGCCGGGTAGCGGGCCTGCACGGCGCGGAACACCGCGTGCGAGGGCCTCGAGGGGTCCGGGGAGGCCCCGACCACGGCCACGCCGCCAGGCAGCAGGGCCAGCGCCCGCTCCAGCTCGGAGTCCTCGGCAGCCCAGCACGGCGCGCGCTTCCGCAGGAAGGCCTCGACGCCCTCGCGCGCGCAGGGCAGCGACATGCCCCGCTCCATGGCCGCCGAGGCGAGCTCGTAGGCGGCGCCCAGCTCCTGGCCGCCCTGCGCCCGGACCAAGGACTTTCCTGCCACCAGCACCTCGCGCGGCGACTCCGCGATGCGGTGGCACGTCTGGAAGGCTTCGCGGTGCAAGCCAGCGAGGCCATCCTCGCGCCAAGGCACGACGCGGCTCACCAGCCCAGCCTGCAGCGCCTCCGCCGCCGTGAGCTCGCGAGCGGCATAGAGCATCTCTGCAGCCACCTTGGGAGTCACGGCGCGCGTCACAGCAACGGAGGGCGTGGAGCAGAAAAGGCCGATCTTCACGCCGGGAGTCGCGAACCGCGCGTTGTCCGCGGCCAACACGACGTCGCAACTGGCCGCCAGCTGGCAACCCGCTGCGTGCGCGCAGCCCTGCACCGCGGCCACCACGGGCACCTCACATTCGGTGACCATCTGCATCATCCGGGAGCAATCGCGGAACAGCTTCCCATGGTCGCAGCCACCTGTCGACATCTCGGTGAGGTCGTGTCCAGCGCCGAAGTGGCGGCCAGCAGACGTCAGTAGCACCACTGACGCGCCCTCCACCATGCCAGCTCCAACCTCCAGGAAGGAGCTGATCTCGCCTATCATGGCGCTGCTCAACGCGTTGAGATTACCTGGGCTGTTCAGGTGCAGGTGAAGGACCCGGCCGACCAGCCGCCCCTCGACCAGCGGCATCACGCGTCAACGTCGGCGTCCGTCGGGGCTGGGGCTGCTGACGCACGTGCGTCGCCGCTGCGGCGCAACGGAGGCCTCCTGCCCAGAGCGAGCTTGGACCGTCGCCCTGAGCCGAAATCGCTACAGACTGTATGTATATATGTATGCATGTATGCATGTATATTTTGTATGCATGTATGGATGGTTTGATGTTTGTTTGCTTCTGTGCATGCATATATGTATATACATATGAATGTACGCATGTATGTATGCGTATATGCGTGTATGCGAGCATGCATGTATGTATGTATGTATGTATGTATGTATACGGACTAGGAATCGCTGGCCAAGAAGCCGCCAAGAGGCCCAAGAGAACCCCAAGAGTGCCCTCGAGAGGCCAACGCGTCGTCGTCGTGCCGTCGTAGTCGTCCTTCAGGGTCGGCAGCACCAGCTGTCATGCTTTCGCAATAAGAATACTTAGACAAAGTATCGCTGATTCTCGAAATCCAGTCTCCTCCAGGGCACTGGGAGCTCCTGCCTTGACGCCATGGACCCCGGCTTCCGACACCGCGTGCGCGCTGCTCGACCTTGGACGATCTCCTTCCCTGGAGGTCCCAGCACGCTGTCGACCACATGTTCCGTATGCATTTCGCGCCGTGTGTGGCTTTCAGTGGGCCCCAAGGCCCGAAACGGATTCCAGAAGGGCATGTAGCCTTGAATGGCCGCGTCGAAGTGGCGCGAACCTGGCCAAGGTGGGCAATCGTGGAGCGATCGCGAACCGTCTCTGCCGCATTCACCAGATATAACATGTGACGCCAGGGTCTGGCACCCGAGGGCGGCATGTTATGTCCAATGCCCCACCATACAGGAGACATCTTGCAATCAGGAAACTTAGATGAGGTACGATTTCCATTTGTGGGCCTCGCTTGGAACTGGATGCATGGGGAGCGCCCGAACATACACTAAAGAACCCCTATCCCTCCGAAACTGAAGCGGTCCTTCACTGGTGGGCATTCTTGGGAATCAAAGACCGTGCCACCACGGCCGCTTAGGAGGACTGGGTGGTCTTACCTCAGTGTAATCACGAGGGCACATTAGTCGCAAGAGAAACGGCTTTGTCGACCAATGCGCTATGTACGCTCAAGATCTGGTGCGCCCTGGCACAGGTCAAGGGATCCGATTACGCTAAAGTCCCGAACTGCCCTAGAGGGCCAGCGTTGATATATCTTTATATACACATTTATAGGTATATATATATATATGCACATACACATATGCACATTCATACTTCGCCGCTACGAAAGTTCGGCCAAAATTCAACGCCTCCCGGTAGGCGACGAAGCCCCAGCACAACGTTGGCAGTGGGCCCGTTAGGCCGCGGGGCCCCAGTACAATGTTCGGTTGAAGTATTTTTCGTTCCAGTCTCGGGCGGCGCCGCCCTTTCGAAATCGAGCCCGCGGGTTTCGAAATCCAGTCGAGCTCGTTTTGTGGAGGAAGTCCTGAGCGAAAGCCACATTTCGAAATCGAGCCCGAGGGTTTCGAAATCCAGTCGAGCTCGTTTTGGGGAGGAAGTCCTAAGCGAAAGCTGCATTTTCGAGTTTTCGGGTCAGGGCTTTCAAAATTTTAATTGCCAAACGGTGTGGCCGCTTCGAAACGGCGGTTTCGCTCGATACTTCCTCGAAACAACGATTTCGAACGATTTCGAAACTTTCGGGTTCGATTTCGACATGGCGCTCCCGCCTAGGACTTCCGCAAACATAGAATTCGAAACCTTTCTGCCTCGATTTCGAAATGGCGCTCCTGCGCAGGACTTCCTCCAAAATAGACGTCGAAACCTTTCTGCCTCGATTTCGACATGGCGCTCCCGCACAGGACTTCCTGCAAAATGGTGTGATGCTCAGGCGTTGTTTAGCTGAAAACACAAAACGGGTCAAAACTTTCGTATCGCCGATGTATACACAAACTTATACATTTACATACACCTACACACATATATATATACATACATACATACATATTACATACATGTAGGTGTATAGACATGTCTCCTCCAATTGAAATCTCACATGCTTTTAGAATTGGCCCCTCGGGCATTCTTGGAAGGCTTTGCGCCAAGCTGGCTCCAGATGCCCGAAGATTGCCTCCAAGACGGCGTACGAGGGTCCAAGACTGGTCAGCAAATCTGTGCCTTGTCGACTTGTCGCTTCCGGTGGGCTCCAGAGGCCTCAAGGTGGCTTCAATCTCGCCCAAGAGAGCCCCAGGAGGGGCCCCAGGCAGACCTCAACGACGGCCCCAACGAAACCCCAAAGCGCCCCACGATCGAGGGCCCAGAATGCCCCCAAGAAGACCCCAAGAACGCTCCCCAAATGGCCCCACGAAGGCCTCAATATATCTCCAAGAAACTCCCAGAGCGAATGATCCGCAAAGGCTTTTCTTGCTGCCTCCTGTTGTCGTCGCCTTCTTCCTCACTCGTCTTCTTCTCCCACCTGCTCTTCGTCCTCGTCCTCCTCTTCCTCCTTCCCCCCTCCTTCACCAAATGTTCGCCTGAAATTGAACGGGAACGCTTTCCGTCAAGTTCCTCGTCCTTTTGCTCGCCCTCCTTCTCCTCGGCCTTCTCCTCCCTTTCCTCCCCCTCCTTCTTCGAAAGATCCGCGAAAGCATGTGATTCACTGTTTGACTGCATGCTGATCAAGAGAACTCGCCTGGGGATCTTTTCTGGATGGGCTGGTGGAGTTAAGCGAAGCGTCAGCACTCTTACGTTCGAGATCCGGCGCCTTGAGGTCAAATCGGGCTCGGACTGTGCCACCCAAGCTCGGAACCCATGTGACGATCTGGAGAGCCTTGGGTAGCTGATGTCCTTCTGGAACCTCTCGTGAATGCGCACCCAGCTGAACTCAACGTTCTCGACTGGCTGCGCTGTCCACAGCTCGAATGCGGCGGCTGCAGCCTTGTTGCACGTGCGCAGCTGGCACATGGGCGCCCAGAGGAGCAGGGACAGGACGTGAAGAAGGACTGCGACCTCGGCAGTGACGGATCTTCAAAGAGGCGCGAAGGGAGGATAATGTTGATGATGATGATGATGATGATGATGATGATGATGATGATGATTATGATGATGATGCGAGGAAGAGATCACAACAGAAGCTCCAACAAAACTCCCGTCGCAATCGAGCACGATGCCTTGTGACTTTGGGGAGATGGGCTGCAAACACGAACTTTCTTGATATTCTCTCCAACCTGCCGTCCAACGTGGCTGGGCGAAGCGATCTGGGTCCTAAGTTGCCCTAGCAGAAGAGAAATGACGACAAACAAGAAACTCAGCAGCATTAATTCTGAACACAACGCTCTAGCCACATCGCGTGCAAGCCCAGGAACATCTCAAATGGTATGTGTATGTGTATGTGTGCCTATGTGTGTTCACATTAAAAACTAGGATCACGTCTATATATATATATATATATATATATATCTATATATATATGTATATGCACGCATACGTATGCCTCCTCAGGGTGCTTTTGAAGCTATGCGGCCCAAGTTCGGTGCACATCCGTGCGCCTCTCCCTGAGCCTGCCGGCCCTGGCACTCGGCGGCGCCACTCTGACAGGCCAGACCTCGAAGTCGACCAGGTCGCTCCAGCAGAGGGCGGCCGAAGTCTGTCCGCGTGCCGGCGTGCTCGGCGAAGGGCAGAGGGCGGCCGCTTCCACGATGTCCGTCCAGTCCAGCGGCGGCATCTGCCGGGCATCGGTCGGGCTGCGGCGGCCCGAGCGCCTGCGGGGGCCGGCGGGATGCCTGCGGCGTGGCAGCAGCGTGCTGCTCGAGGGGCGCGCGTCCACTCCTGCGCAGGCGCATGCACGTGCACGGGGGCGCATACACAGTACGCCGGGGTGGCAGCCAAGCAGATTTCGTGCGCGAAGTGGGAGAGAATGATGCTGGTGGCGAGCGGGTGGAGGGGGTGACGAATTTGACTCTGTCCGTTCTGGGCTCTCTACTGTTCTACTCTGTACCACTCCTCAGCTTCTGACCTCAACCCTGAGCCCTCTACACTTCATTTCATCATCTCGACTCTCTGCCTTCTTTCTCTCTCACTCTCTGTTCTCTATCCTGTACAATGTGTTCTCTACAACATACGTTGTACTCTCTACCTCGCTACCCACTCTGCCCTCTCTACTAGATCTTTTTCTCCACTTTCACTACTTTCTCTCCCTCCATTTTCTGCTCGTTAATTTGTTTGTTTGTTGTTAATGATGTTTGTTCTCCCTCTACACGCTCTATGATGTTATTCTGTTGAGAATGATGGTTGTTCTCCCTCTGATGATGTTGTTGTTAATGATGTTTGTTTGGTGTTAATGATGTTTGTTTGTTGTTAATGATGTTTGTTGTTTGTTAGTGATCATTGTTCTCCCTCTCTCTCTCTCTCCGGTTTCCCTTCCCCCCCCGCTCACCCTCTACACGCTCTCCGCTCTGTGTACTCCCTCTACTCTCTCTCTCTCTCTCTTTTATGTGTATGCTCGCCTTCCTCCCTCTGCAGCCCTTCACTCCTAACCTTCTTTTCCGCACTCTTGACCTCGCTCCTCTCTCTCTCTCTCTGATTTCCCTTCCCCCCCGCTCACCCTCTACACGCTCTCTACTCTGTGTACTCCCTCCACTCTCTCTTTTATGTGCATGCTCGCCTTCCTCCTTCTGCAGCCCTTCACTCCTACCCGTTTTCTCCGTACTCTCTTTTATGTGTACTCTCTTTTATGTGTACTCTCCGTGTACTCCCTCCACTCTCTCTTTTGTGCGTATGCTCGCCTTTCTCCCTCTGCAACCCTTCACTCCTAAGCGTATTCTCCGTACTCTCTTTTATGTGTACTCTCTTTTATGTGTACTCTCCGTTCACTCCCTCTACTCTCTCTTTTATGTGTATGCTCGCCTTTCTCCCTCTGCAGCCCTTCACTCCTAACCTTTTTCTCCGTACTCTTGACCTCGCTCCGGACCGAACCGTGTACAGCCTGGAGCACCTCCCCTGAGGGAAGACACCGTGCGGACCACGCGCGCTTTTCCTCAGCCAGCCAACGCAGCGCGGGCCACACGCGCGCGCGGGCGCTGAACGGTCGCCATCCCGGCGACACAATGAAACGAGGTGCGCATGCCCTGGGGGACAGGGGGGGGGGTCCCCTTGTGGACAGGGGGAACTCAGGACCCCTCCCCCCGCCTAGCCCCTGGCCCTGTGGACAAGGGGACCCACCCACCGTTCCTTGCGGACCCCCCCCCCCTCGGAGGCACCCTCCTCACTCTTCTCTGCCGTTGCGGGGTGCTGCGTGTTTTCCCACATGCCTCCAAGAGAGAGCCCTCACATCCGCTACGAGGCGGCTCCAAATGCCACGGAGCTTCATAAGAAGTCCCCCAAGAGGCCCCCAAACACAGCTAAATAGGCTCCCAAGAGAACCCCAAGAAGGGCTCCAGAGCGTCAGCGTAAACGTCGTCGTCGTTGCCGCCGCCACTACCGCCGTCGTCGTCGTCGTCGTCGTCGTCGTCGTCGTCGTCGTCCCCCTTCCAGGGTCGGCGGCACCCGCCGTCAGGCATTCCCGATAATGGTTCAGGTGCCTGGGTCTTTAGAGTGCGTTCGTTAACACTCTCTACCAAATAACACCATGCAGGCTTGCTCGCGAGCCGAGCGGGCACCATCCTAGTCAAATGCGACCATACGGGCCACACGCGCGAGTAAATCCCTACGCCATTCACATAATTATGTTGTGCGAACTCATAATGTTGCACGGCCATGTCTGCGGAGTGGATGAGCAAGTTGAAATCCGTAGCGCTTTCATATCGCGTACTTCAGTCGTGGCTTACAATATTAATGACAAACTTTATGATTCGAAAGGTCACGGGATACTGTAATGTTTATGATTTGGTGTGTCGGTAGGTCCGATGCTTCATCTGGTTTTTCATTGATGCTCTCGCAATTCTCTCCTCTCACTCTACTCTCCGCACGCTCCCTGGCCTAACTGCTCTTTCTAGTATGTATACCCTTTCTCTCTCTCTCTCTCGTATACGTATATATATATATGTATAGACAGAAACTGTATTCTCTTACCTTATCTTCTCTTCTCTTATCGTCTCTTCCCTTCTCTTAGCTTCCCTTCTCTTCTCTCCTCTTCTCTTCTCTTCTCTTCTCTTCTCTTCTCTTCTCTTCTCTTCTCTTCTCTTCTCTTCTGTTCTCTTCTATAATTTTATCTGATATTCTCCATTCTTATTAATTTCACTCCTCTCTCTACTCTCTCTACGTTCTGTCTACTCTCTCTACCATTTTCTTTCTCTACACTCCCTGCTCTTTCTCGTCTACCCTCTACTCTTCAATTCTGATGTGGTCCACCCCCGTGCCCGCTTGCACGTCGAGGCGCGGCAGAATCCCCAGGGCCGTCTGGTAGAGCGTCTGCAGTTTTCGAGGCCCCCCCCCCTCGTCGCAGAGTGCTGCATGCAACACCCCGCCTCCCGAGGTCACGGCCTCTTTGCTAACAATCAAGCGGTCCGCGCTCCCGAAGCTACCATGCCTCGTAGACGACACGACGGATCAGCACTCCCGCGTTCCAGGACGGCCGAGGCAGGCAACGAAGGCCTCCAGGATTGTTTTCAAGATGGCCCCACGAAGGCCCAAGATTGTCCCAAGGCGGCCACAGATGGCCTCACGGCGGCACAGGATGCCTCGGACAGGGCCGCACTAGGACCTCCAATAGGGTCCGAATGGGCCAACAACATTGGTTTCCCTCTGGCGGTTGGCAGGATATCGCGTTCGCGCTTCGTCGGGATACTGTCAGCTGGGGGCGACCCACGATGCCTCCATTATGGCACCAATGCGGCCCACGATGCCCATACGAGACGCCCAAGATGGCCCAAGAGGACCCCATGACAGCCAAATAGGCCTCCAAGATGGCCCAAGAGAGGGCCTTTGGAAGGGCCCCACAAAAACTCAGGACAGCCCCAAAACGGACTAACTGTGTTCTATGAAAGCTCCTCATGTGACGGCCTTCCTCTTTCTCCTCGTCCTCCTCGTCCTCCTCCTTCTCCTCACCCGCATCCCCATCCTCATCCTCATCCTCGTCCACATTCTGAACCGCATCACCGCCACCATCACCATCACCACCACCATCACCATCACCATCACCATCATCATCATCATCGTCATCATCGTCATCATCGTCATCATTATCATCATCATCATCAGCACCACCATCAGCATCGTCATCATTCTCAGCGCCACCACCATCATCACCACCACCGCCATCACCCATCAGCATCAACACAATCATCACCACCATTATTATCATCACCACCATCATCATCATTTTCATCATCATTAACATCATAAACACCGCCACCACTAATATCATCATCGTCGTCGTCGTCACCATCGTCACCAGCGTCGCCGTCATCATCATCTCAACGCTATCCCGTGCCACACCCAGGCAGTGTTCCACTTTTTGCTGTGTGGGCCGGGGGCCTGGGCAGCCTGGTCACGGACGCTGTGGAACCCGGGCCTGAACGAAAGGAAAACATTTCAGCGCGCTGAGAGACGAAACGAGGCGAGGAAGCGAGCGGGGAGGGAGGGAAGGGGCGAGAGAACTGAGCCAGACGGTTTCGGAGGATAAACCCTCGCGGCACTCAATCGCTAATGAGATGACAAGTGAGACACGACCATCTCAACGCTATCCCGTGCCACACCCAGGCAGTGTTCCACTTTTTGCTGTGTGGGCCGGGGGCCTGGGCAGCCTGGTCAGGGGCCGGGGCGCTGTGGAACCCGGGCCTGAACGAAAGGAAAACATTCCAGCGCGCTGAGAGACGCCCGACTCCCGAATGGTAACGTGGCCCCCGGGGCGGACCAAGAGGGCACGCACCGCGCCCGGGGCCGAACACTCAAACATCATTAACTAACATTGACATTCTGCTGAAACCGATCCAATCTACCTGACATTGAATGATCCTGGCAAAAAACTGACAAAACTTCTTACAATATGGCTCGGCCCGACGAGTCCAGAGCATGCCAGTGGACCGGTCAATGCCGGTCAAAACGATGTGACGCTTGCTGGAGAAAGTGCACATCCCCCCCCGCCCCTGGCAGAGACAAGGGGGCGAGGAAGGGGGATGGAAAGGAACCCAACAGGTCACCCGGGTGCGTTTTCGCCACGGGGCCCCGAAAGAACACATATCGAGCATGTACGTTCTGCAGTCGGGTTTGGAGAGCAAGGCGGCCACCGCCGGCGCTGCCCACAGAAGCGACGCCCCAGGATTCTCTAGATACACTGGGGTGGACAGGCGGCGGCACAAATGAATGACCTTAACTGTAAAACGCCTCTGGGCATTTCCCGAGCGGACGGCCTGGAGGGATCTACCCGAGAGCCCCTGGAGCCCGAGAGGAAAGGCCGCGGACCTGAGAGAACGCCAGGAGGTCCCAGGGGGGCCGTGCCGCGCCCGGCTCCAGGAGGCACATGGGGTTCCCAACCAGACGGCTCGCACCACTCGAGATTTGAGCCACCCCAGGACCATCTGCTGGACTTCGGGGCGGCTCAGATCATGCCAGGGCCGGCGACCCTGGTCAAAGTCCAGGGGGAGCGCGGCCAGGCCGAGAGACGATATCCGGGCAGAAAGACCACCGGATCCAGCAAAAAGCTCCAGAAAAACGGTGCGAGCTTTCACTACGTGCCTCGGGGCCCTCATGCATCGTTTTAAGTCTTGCAAGAGCCTGCGGCAGGCCGTGCAGGCGGAGGCGGGACGGCCGCCCCCCTCAGGAAGATCTCGGCCAACGTCGCGTC